CACATCCACAGACACCCACGCATACACGCTTCAACTTTGCTTGGCATTCATTTGGAAAACGCCACTAAACCAAACTTACTTTGTCCTCCACCCATCACACACATTTACACGGCATGTGAGCTCACTTCCAAGCACTGTGAAGGGTGGATGGCAAACGGAAACGTTTAGGCAACTTAGGAAGCGACAACGACAAAACGAATAGCGACAACTTACAGCATCGAAAAAGAACCGTATTCGATAACAATAACATGAGACTGGATTTTTTTTTTTTTTGATGTGCTTCTTCTCTTTGGGCCGGTTTTGTTCTTTTCACTCTTCTTCAGTTTAATCCCCAATGTAAATACACTCTTCAATCACTGATGGTTTGAAGAAAAGAAAAACCAACGCCACCCAATGAAAGATTTTAATTATTTTCCCGTTAATTTGCGCTCATTTCTATCTGTTCTTCGGTAGAAGTGATGCAGCGGTGTGGGTGCAGTAATTTCAAAGAAAATTATAAAAGACGACACGCACACACATGTGATTCGGATGAAGGGGAACTCCTGCAGCCATTCAACTGTTTACCCATTATCTCAATTAAATGCAATTTTCCGTCGCCTTTCTTTTGCCTTCTTTTAAATAATTACTTGCATTGTTCAAAAGTGGATAATGGAACCAAAACGTCAATCCTATTGTGTCGAAAGCATAACATTATCCCCAACTCCCCTACTCATATTTTATTTGAAAATTACATTTAACTCGTCTTTTTTTTTTGAAAAAAAAACTACATTTAAGCAATGTAAAAATATACAATTATCCGCAGTCTACCAAATGATGAATTTGTATTGTTTTACCAAGTTGTGGCTGAACATAATATATTCACTTTATTGGAAAAAATAGTAAAATTCTCGTCAAAATTGGTCACTTGGATTTGGTTGGAAATCGATAGGTTCTTACAAAGGATCATGCTCCAATTTATTGGAGTCTACATAAATGATTGAGTTTGCAAAGGTTTGATGATTTTGACAAATCAAAATGGTTGCACGGCTTTATGAGAGCTCCTCCGAATAATTGCTTGCACCAATTTCCCATTCGTCGAAATGCAAACACTGAAACGATCACATTTTTATTCGAGAAAACTTTTTGAAAATAATTTCTTTCTAATTTACCTTTTATTTTGTTGTTGTTAAAATTCAATTTATTCTTTCAAAGATTTTCGTCCATTTTTTTTTTTCCTTCAAAAAATCAAATTAAAAACCGTAATTTGGGGTCAATTTATGATAAGTGTCAGAATTAACACTGAATTTATGAATTTAAAATAAAAACACCGTATGAATTAGGTATCAAAAAGACCACGATTTGTCATATGAATTCAAGAATAGCCAAAATATGAAATAAATATGTGAAAATAAGCTAAATCATTATGATGATCATGTTTATCGCATTTGTTGCGTTCAAAATTGAATGAAGACGAACAGTGCAAATTGGTTGCACGATCACGCACGCAATGTACTCATGTGGTATGAGTAGAATTGGGCAAAGTGTACCACTGTTTTCAAAGGATAAACTCTCATATTTATTACAGAAATGCCCATCATTTCAATTATAATTCAAATCATTTGCATTTCGCAACCAAAATTAAAATACCGGGAGACTTGAGAAACAAATCGAAAGTGTTAATAAAATAAATCAAAAGTTTATGCTATCGAAGAATGAAGTTGAAGGTGAGATAACAAAATCTTTCTTCATCAAAATTTGAAATGATATGTTTTTTTTTTCTTCACTCAACTGCATTTGTCAAAGTTTGAAAATTGGAAATGATCCTTTCATAAGATTGGTAAAACATGTTGAGTATGGAATTGAAAATGCACTAACCTGATCGTGTGTTGTGTACAACTTGAAATGACACCCAGCCGATGATGCACTCGTTTTTCACTCAACGCATTTATATCTATCAATCTCTAAATAGTTTATCAATTTTTCACAGAATTTTTTTCTTCTCGCAGCAAAAACTTGTCATTCAAACACGACAAATTCGATTTCAAATTTCGGAGTTCAAGATCAGTTCAAAGTACGGTTTTGTTCACTGTCTATCAACTTTGAATGTTTTCGTTGTCTCTCTCTCTTTATTATATACTTAAACCATCGTTTATGCTCACTCGCTTACATTAGTCACATAAATTTTTGTTCGTTGGTTTTCTCTCTTTCAAAACACAAAAGTTTATTTTATTTTTGTTATTGTTTATCAGTTTTTTTTTTTTTCTTTCCTATGGAGGCGAATGATTTTCTATCACCACTTTTATTTATTCGAATTTATTTTTCAACAACGTTCAATTTGATCAATTCAAAAGTTACAAAGTGTCGTTAAAGTCAAATGGTGCGCTTTCGCTCAAGTGTTCGTCTCTTTTGGAGTTTGTTTCTTTGGAGTGAGTCTTTTTCTCGTAGTTTCATTTGAATGGCGCTCAATTTTTATGTGCAAGTTGAATTGGATAAATCTCGTGCGCGTGTGTGTATAGAATTATGAAATTACCCCAAAAAAAAAAATGAAGAGATTTTCAGCTGATTAACAAAGAGTAGGCTTTTAATAGACCATCGATAAGTAAAATTTGACCATTTGTCAAAATTGTCTTCTTTGCGTTGAATTCGTTTGAATTTCAAATGATGTGATATAATTTCATTTCAAACATAGAATCGTTAGAAATTCTGCTCACCGCAAAATTCAAATGAAAAACAACAGATTTTCCGTAACAAACGAAAAAGTTCTGAAAGCAAAAGATGAACTTGTGCTGTAGATCGTCAAATGATTTCGGTTTGTTGAAGTGAAATTTTTGAAAACTTGTGTCAAGTGCAGATTTTTTTCCGTCGCGTTTGTTTCGTTGATCGAAACGTAAACAAACAAATGTTTGCTGTTGGATTGGCAATTGGATTTGCCGTGTTTGTTGAGCGGTTGAGAGTGTCGTGCTTCGAATTGAAAATTTTCGTGTGATTCGGTTGTTTGTGTGAATAAATATTCTGCCAAAAAAAAAGAGTGAAAATAGTGTGATGAATGTTGATTATATGTTGATGCGTCTGTTCACGTTCGATCTTCGCGTAATACTGAGGTGGCTCGCACCTTCTGTCGTTAAAATGCACTGTGTGTGAATTTGGCCGTCATGTGCGATCCGTTTATATTTGCCATCGGTTTGGCTTTTTCCAACGGCTGTTGCTTTCACTTTGAGTGTGCACATTGCCTCAGCCAATGATGCTGCTGTTGTGTTGCGACTCTCTTGCTCTCTCACTCCCTTAGCGACTATGTGCCACAAAGTAGGAAAATATTTGTAACAAATGCTTGTGGCACTCGTGCCTGTATTCCACACATTCTCTATCTCTGTCGTTTAGCAGCCGTACATAGTATACGTGCCTCGGTGTGGATTGGGCCCCGTAAGCCTCTGCGTTGAACGTGCATTTCGCCAGCTCGAAAAAGCTCAATCGAATCGACTGTGCACTGAATGTATATACACTATCTTAGAGCTCAGCGAATTCGGAGAATTTTCAAAGCAAGTTGAATGCAGCACAGTGACTCTGCTGGCGAAACACTGCTGTCGATTGCAATTCGTAGCCGGATTGAAATAAAAATTTATTTTAACTTTCAATGAACCGAGTTACATTAGATTCGAATCAAATGCACTTTCACACTAATCGAACAGCAATATAAAAAAAAACATCGCATCGAATGTGACATGTTACCAACGGTTCCGATTATTTGGCCGTTTCTGATGAATACACCGTTTCAAGGCATATACATACATCCACACATAGGATATAGTATATGAATCAATCGGCTGTCTTTCCGCATTCCATCGAACGCACCCGCTCATCTGAGCTCAAAATGTGTCCCCTTTTCCAATACACTTTGGATGTGTTGTATCTGTGTGTACGCGCATTTGTGTGAATGTGTGTTGATATGCATTCCCGGCTAGGGTGTCCTGTCAATATATTTCACTGTAATCGAAATCATTTGACGAACTGCTTCCGCCACCGAATGCCATACACATCAAATATTTGTATTTGAATTCGACTGTCTGTTTGCCAAGATTGAAGACAAAATCACAAGAGATAAGCATCGATGAGATATTAAATGTTTTGATCTTCAATTTAACTGACGACTCAATAGCCATGCATATAAAAAAAATTGAAATGATCCGATTGAAGGAGATGAATGTAACAATTTCCTGATTTTTTTTTTCTTTGGTGGATTTGAATATCGTTCTATTTCCATCTAATGTTTATTTAACATCATATTTTTGGTATTGGTTCCACCTTTTTGAACTCTTTAAAATGAATCCATTGAAATGCGTCAGTTTTGATTTGAATTTTTGAATTTATTTATTCAAGCAAAAAAAAAAGTCGTAAATAAAGATAAGGCAACAAATGTCATGCGTTCAATTTATACAGTTCAATGTAATGTAATTGGAGCGTTTATTTATCCACAAAAAATAAAGGCTAGAAAATCGCGCAAATGATTGATTCTGATTGTGGTCGGCAAGACGGGGTCGCACTTTTAGTAACGGCAAATTGATTAGGTTCAAAATGCCTTGGAAGATCAACGACGGAGACGTGATTCCAGGCACTGGGGACAAAACTGCAAACACACACACACACACACATTGGAGTGCACACCAGAGAATTGTGCATTCGATACATTCCCAGAGACCATCTCACCATCCAGTGTGTGTTAAATGCAACCAATGAGCAATTGAGAGAGGGCATCCAACGAAGACCTGCGCAACAGCTTATTACTTGCTATAGGTTCGCTAGCACATGTTGTGATTCAATAAAATATACAAATTTCAGTCATTCATTCCGAGTGTTTTATGAATGTTGTTGTTCATCATCATGCTCTCTCGCCACATTTTTATGATTCCGCTCCTTTTATTTATCGTCGCTTTGTTTGCTTCTGCTGGAATTTCAGACGGGAAAAAATTGTAAGAGAGAAACGTAGAATCTTTTAAACGAAGCTTAAATAATTTTTTCGGACACGTTATTTTTGCGCAAATATAACAGAATCGAATGAAATTCTTTTTTATTTATACCCGTTGAATTAACATAGATTCAGCTTTCTTTCTTCGTGCGTACTTACGTAAGTTCGTGAACTCAACTGTAAAAATTGACAAAGAAGGCAAGCTTGTGCATAATGCACGCATGTATTTGCGAAAATGTCCAAAAGTAAAAACTATTCTGAAGTTAGACCTCTGAATGTATCAAGTAATTCAAAAACATACTCTCAAAAATGGAACACGCGAATAATAATGAGTCCTGTGCTGCAAGAATAGTACAACTATTCAAGCTGGCCATGAAACTCCGTAGAATACAACTATTCTTAAAATCTAATTATATATTTTTTGAATTAAAAGCTAATAATCAATGTTGTTGCTACTGCTGCTGCTGCTGCTGTTCCAACTGCTACAGCCGCTGGTTACTGGAACTGCTTCAACTGTTGTTATTGTTGTTATCACTCTTACAATGATGATGATGATGATGATGATGTTCATCTGCGACATTCGAATGTTGTTTTTGTTGCTTCCATCCATCCATCCATCGATATAGTAATGAGGCAGCCAGAGTTATCGTCGTTATCGTTGTCATTTCGGACGAGCGAAACAGTTATACTTCTGTTGATCCAAGAAAGAAAATGAAAAAAAAGCAAAATTAATTATACCGCCAAACAACACAGCCAAAAACGAATAGAAAAAAATCGATTGAAATTAATTTGAAGGTACTTACATTTTATGCATTTGTTGCATAGTTGGCACAACAGCGAAATTTATCACACTCTTGTCCACTATTCCACCACTTCAATTTACGACTGATGCAGCAACTACACGAAAAAGGAGAGAAAATAAAAAAACGAATAGATTAGAAGAAACATACACAATCAACCTGAAATATATAACACCACCAGTCAAATTCTAAGATTAAATAGCAATACTTACACGATATTGTATCGCTTCTGTTGTGAAAAATCAACATCACTTCGGTGGTACAGTCATTTGACGACGGCGATGATTTTAGCAGCAGCTGTGCGGTAAGATGACACTACAGAGAAAAAAGAAGAAGAAAAAACACAAACCGATTAGAAACACACACAAAATAATTCAAATCAAAATTGAATCGGTTAGAAAAATCTTGACCGGCCAAATTGAGTGAAAATAAATGTAAAACCTAGAGTTTTTTTTTATATGGACTTTAAAGCCACAACTCCATATAAAGCATCACCAATCAATCCTGGATCAGCGAGAATATCTATTACAATCAATTACACTGCGATACTACAACGAATATCGTCGTGTTCGATTTCTTCAAACTTATTGATTCAAAAAATGTTGACAATCTGGTGGTTGTGCCTTAGATTCAATTACCTTTTTACATCAAATTTAGAGCCATGGATGAAACAAAAAATCCTCTGACGTATCTAGCAACACAAACACACACTTTGTGTACGAAATGGTATTTGTTTAAACAATTGTTTTGATAAATCTGCTTCCATTCTATATATTTAATATTGAATCTGACGTTGTTTTTTATTATGGTACGATTCATAAATTCCAAATTTCATAATATTTACACATATTGAAGAAATTTTTGGAATATGACAAATATTCTGATTTTTACGTACCCTTAATCTACGCAATCGTTCTTAACAGCGTACTTTTTTTCATCGGTATCATATTAAATGACCTTGAATTTCATTAGAAAAGTTTATTCAATGAATGACAGACTGGCTTGTCTCTATTTTTTATGCTCATAATTTGTAGAAGCATTTTTTAAACAATGTTCTTTATTCTTTATTCCTTACTATTTATTGGTAAAAAGGCAATATACATTTAACGGCCGTACGGCCAATTACATAATGTAATATGGGGATCTGTGTGGTTTGCAATTTTCATCTAAAAAAAGGTAATCAATCTATATTCGTGAGTGTCTTGAAGTTAAATTATCAGTTTTCATTTTCATATGTTGTTCAAATGACGCTGAAATCAATTTGAAATCAATAACAATGCTTTGGACTCTGCAGCCAACATTTTACCATTTTTCTTGTCATGATTTTCTCTTTTTTTAAACTAAAATATTATTTAGAAGAAATACGTCTTTTGAGTATGGTTTAAAAAAAAAATCAGGAACGGTTCTTTCGTTGTAGATATTGTCACATATGAGAAAATCTTCTAAAGCTGTCTAGTATATTCTGTACTCAATGCCAAGAGCTTTCTCACATGTGTAAGTAGTGACGAACCATGGTTCTTGGAATGTGCATATTCTATAAAAAAAAAGAAATACGGTACTAAACCTAGGAGGTAGGTTATTCTTCCGATTTTCAATAACAGCTTCTACATATGTAAATATTATACGCATTACGTATCTCGGGATTTACGTACCGCGAAAAATGATAACATTTCTAAAAACATCCGATTCGGTATCAAAACATTTGTTTAAATTAATAACCAATTGGTGTGTGAGGTGTGTGTTTGTGCTGCTAGAAACGACAACAAATACTTTTGTTTGTTCAATGGCTTCCGATTTAGTATAAAAGGCAGTTGAATCTGTGGCACAACTACCAAATTTTCCACGTCCTTTGAAACGATCAGTTTGAAGAAACAATAAAAAAAAAACCAATTCAAATCACGATGAAATTCATCATATTTTTCGCAATTTTGTTGATTGTAGCTGCCGTTTACGCTGCTCCTGCATCGAACGATCAAAGAGCTTGGCTTCATAATGTGCCTAAGGTTGGCATTAGACCATGTACTGGTGGACATGTAGAAAGTTCCAAAGGAAGTGGAAGCAATTGATTTGTGACATATTTTGCGAGTGAGATTGTACAGTTAAAGGAGAAAATATAAAATATTTCATCGAGACACCAATTTTTGTTGCATATATGTACACACAGAATTTTTATAAATTGCAGTAATTTGAGTATTAAATTGTCAGCCTTCACAACAAGCAGCTAAAACGTATTGTCTTTCATTTCATCTTTTTTCAGAACACATCTTTTTTGTTAAAAATTCGCTAAGCTATCACATAGATTATGTGTCTATAATGGTGAATTCATCAACTAAGTCATATCGGTATCGGTAAAATTCCATTCAAACGAATAAAAGAAAGGAGAAATTGATGCCAAAAATCAATTAAACAAGAGTTATGGATTTGATCGACTACAATTTTTTATTGCTTAGTTCTGCAAATATTTTAAGTTGGTTTTCGATACGAATCATACACGTTGATACGTACTGCTTAGTATACGATAATACAATTACAATTACAATTATTATACAATAAAACGTAATTTGGATAATCCATTGTTTCGCCTAAATATGTTAATAAAAACAGCCTGTACAAATGATAAACATTCCAGCCTTTCTGATCATGAAAATAGTAAACAATACAACGCCACCTAAGGGGGCAAAGTGCATTGTGCCATACTTTCAACGTTTGAACTAACACAGACGCGTACTTGTTACAGCAAACTATTTGCATGATTCTCTATTTCTCCAATCAGTCTCCAGGTGCCGCTTTATTGTTCTTCTTAGGTATCTATGAAGTTTGTATTTATGCTATATTTTTCTCAGAAGTTATCTTTCTACTATGCGACATAATATGTTTGTGTTTCATTTCGTAAACTTTCTTTCATGGATTAAACTCAAAATCGATACGCAGAAAAAAATAAAAGTTTTAACTTGCTCAAAGCTTTGTCCGCCTTAGTTATTAAATCAGTTTTCATAAGTCTACCTCTTGTTTTCACCTGTGCCAATTCTTTGGTAGTTAAATTGGTTCTCATACCGGTTTTCCCGTTCTATCAATAGTTCGAATGGGCTTTTCGATACCTACAACGACATGATTTATTTGATAAATTTACCATTACAATCGTTCAGCCTGTTACCTAGGTGAATTTTTCCATTTTGAAAAGCGTAAAAAGACGAAATGAAAGGCAACATTTTAAGTACTTGAACTGGTTGTGAAGACCACTTGGAGAACAATTCATTTCTCAAATTGATGCAACTTACTGAAATTTACACAGAAAACGGTCCAATAGATTATTCTAAATTGTCTCCGTCAAACGTACAATCTCATTTTCAAAATTAATCTGAAAGCAATTGGTTTGTGAATCCACCAACAACAGGCACCAAGAAAGTGATAAACAACCGACACATTTCCAACCAATCCACCAACCAGTACGGGAGTAGCGTTTACGGCAGCTATGATCATCAAAAGTGGACAGTCTTCTTTCTATGCTTAATCTAAAACTAATAAACATATAAATTCCTTTGACGTTTCTAGGAACACAAACACACACACACACTTTGTGTACCGAATGGCATTTGTTAAAACAAATATTTTGATGAATCTGTCTCCAATGTATTTTTTTAATAAATAATGAATCGATTGTTTCCACACATTTTATTATTTTACGCAATTCATAAATTTCATATTGCGCATGACATATGACTAGTATTGAAAATATGACAAACATTCTGGTTCCTATGCACTGCACATTGTATACAAGACTATAGTTTTTTACGTACTTTCCCGCCCATGTGGCACAATATCAACAATAACATTACTTTCAATTTGCAAATTGCAAAATGACAATCGTTCAAAGACCGAGCACGAACGTAAACACGCTCACTTCACGAATGCAATACTTTTACTCGCTCGGTTTGTGGTTATTTTTCGTTGATTTTCATATCTTCAATAACTGTTTTGACACGTGTATGTATTACGCGCATTGCGCAACGCGGAACTTACACGCAGAATGATCAAGTAACTTAAGGCATCTGGCAGATTCATCAAAACATTTGTTTAAATAAATACCACTTGGTACACAAAGTGTTTGTTTATGTTGCTAGAAACGTCAAAGAGTTTTGTTTGTTTAATGGATTTGGATTTAGTATAAAAGGCAATTCAATCTGAAGTCAATTACGTTTGGAGCAATCAGTTTAAAGAAACTAGAAAAAAAAACAAATCACAATGAAATTCATTGTAGTCTTCACACTTTTGTTGTTTGTAGCTGTCGTTTGCGCTGTTCCAGCTGCTGAGACTGCTGAAGCTACTGTTGGTGGCGGATCTTCTGTTGGCGTATCGTCTGGTGGCAAAAGTGATGTCGGTAAAATTCTCGGCGGTTTATTGGCTGGCGGTTTACCTTTGGGAAAATTTTTGACTCATATGGGTCATGAACCGTCAACGCTTCAATGAGACATATTTTGGAAATGAGATTGTACGTTTGATGGAGAAGATTTTACATTATAATTTTATCAAACCATTTTTTTCGTAGAATTTATGTACAGATTTCGATAAATTGCAGAAATTTGAGAATAAAATTGTTCACCAAATGGTCATCGCAACAAGCTCAAGTAGTTAAAATGTTGTCTTTCATTTCGTCTTTTTACGCTTTTCAGAATAGAAAAAATCGCTTATCCAACAGGAACGATTGTAATGGTAAATTTTTCAACTAAATATCGAAAGTTCCATTTGAATTATTAAAGAATTCATTCAAAATTTATTTGTTTGATCCACAAACTCACCAGATCAAGTTCTATAGGCAATTCCTCGTCTGTATACACACGATCCAATATCCCATTCGCATTGAATTCATCAAATGATTAATGAGCGCTGACACCATCTAAATAACTTAAGGTGAATAACAAGTGAAGCAGAAATACACAACACTTGAACACTCTTACTTCCACACTGACATTGCGAACTCTCAGTAGATTAACCTGGGAGTAACACCGTCCATCTAGTTCCAAACAAATCTAAATACTAACGTACAGCGCATTCCTGACTTGAATTAATCGCTTAAATATTTTTCTGGCAATTTCGGGATTTGAAATTTTCGTGGAATATACAGGTGAGTTTCGATTTTTGGTAATGGAAACCTTCCATACAAATTGGTTGAAACTATAAGGACTAACATAGCATGAAAATGGTTGAAACAATCGCAGATCACCTGTATTTGAAAACCTGTCTCAAAATTCTGATTATTTCTGACCTATAGCCATAAAAACACGTTTTCTGAACGGAATCAGAACATAGAAATTGTGCTAGGATAAACCGTGCATAAAACTAATAAGTAGGCGTCTGGTCGAAGTTGTTCACAACTGTTTACATTTTGATTGTCTGAAACTGTGCCAACAACACATCGAACCAAACTATTCGCGTCGGAAAATAGAGTAGAAAAACGCAAAACATTCCATTATGTATAGAGTCTCATCCTTAACTGGGTACGTGATGAAAAAGAAGAAGCTCTATCTTCAATCGTACCCATACATATTTTTCGTTTGCTTTCTCATACCGTTCATGCAGCAACGACAGTGACACCGTGTCTCTTACTACCAAACTTAATTTTGCATGCCTCGTAATTAAGTGTGAAATGTGTGAAATGGTGAATTTCAACGGGAAGAATCCGTCGAAAATGTGTTACGCTACCGAATAGATTAAGCAAAATTAATGTTCGTAGATAGAAGGAGAGAGTGAATGATTCCACGAAGCTATCTTTCGAGTGTGAGAAACGGTAAATTGCTCACCAAAGTCATTTCATTTTGGATTATAAATACTTATTTATTTCGAATTTAAACGAATTTTTACGTGGGGATAGTGAACACACAATACCGAATTCTGTTCACTGGAATTCTTCACTATCGAAGTTGAAATAAAAGAAAAATGGACAAAAGCATCGAATCGATGCCTATTGAAAAGGGCGAAGAAAAAAAAAACGCAGAGAGAAGAAAATGTGAAACTTCAACTCAATATCCACTTGGATAATCCAATAATTACTAGTGGATTTTCTGTTCGTTCGCCGAAGATTAGCACATGCTGCACAGTGCACAACCAATGCATACTACCCGAAGAATCTGTGGCAATGATGGTGTTTCGAAACACTTGCTCCCATGTGAGTCATTCTTTGGCGCGCGAATGGACTACATAGACACGGGTTAGATTTCAAAATACTCGATTTAATTATTGTTTTTTGGTCAGCTGCAATTATTATGCAGCCTATATTTTTCCATCAAAATATTCTAATTGGTTGAATGTTCCCTTAAAAATTTGCCCAATTATCTCAAATCGTTGACTTTTCGATATCGTTCACTTTGTTTATATCAATCACTTCTCTTTTTTTATTGATTTTTTTTCTCCTCCTAAATTACTCACATCCGCATTGAACAACAACACAAAAAAGACGTTCAAGTTGTGCGTAGACGAATTTTCATTTAATACTCACTGAAATTGTGAATTTGTTGTCATTTTCGTTTTCATCCAAATTTCCAATGCACGCAGAAGTTTCGATGGTAAGCGAAAAAGTTTTTCTAAACCGATGCGAAAGTTTAACAACACTTTTTTCTTTGAAATTTGGCAACCAATTTGCACCGTCTTCAACTTTGAAAGTTATTGAAGGGAAAACACAATAAATTTCCATGCGGATTTTTGGTTTTCTTTTCCCTATTTCTCCTTGCCTCTCTCGCTTCATATTCGTAATTAAAAAGGAGAAAGAAAGGAAAAAGTGCTCTCAAACATCAAACTGCAAACGAAGAATATTCGATGGCTATTTTTCTTTTCGATTTTAAGATGATAAATTTTTTCCAAACGACTTTCTCTCTCTTTCTTCCGTTTGCTACATTTGAGAAGATCATTTCGAGTTCGAACTTCATCGATGCGTCATTTCTTTTCCGATTCAAGATCGGTCGCGCGCTTACACTTTTCTAACAATTATTTATGTGCAAAAAAAAAAAAAACTTTGTGAAAAGATTATTACTCGCGAGTGAGCTAGTAAGCGAAGATGACTACGTGCAAGTGGAATTTCAGTCAGCAGTTTGAACATTTATCTTTTCTTTTCCATCAATTTGATAAGATTGTATTCAATGCTCATTTGGTTTACTCAAATAGTTTTGTGTGATGTGTCGGTGTGAGCATTTTGGCCAATAAATTTCATTCAGATACTTAACCGAAACGGGAAGAGAGAGGGAGCGTGAAAAGAGAGAGAGAGAGAGAGAGAGAGAGGTAGAGCGGGGAATATTGTGAGTGAGAGTGCGAAAAAGAAAGGATACACGGAAAAAGTGGCAAACATTTTCGGAATCGGAATTATTTGTACATGCTGTGAGTGTGCAACATAGCGAAATGTGTGCAGAGCACACAAAAAATTAATCTTTGCTTGTTCATTATCCGCCGCCTGTGTTGGGAAAAGAAGAAACTCTTTTCGAAGCGGAAGGCGCTGCGGCAAGCTGTCGAGTATTAATACACAGTGCTGAGACAAACACCAACTGGCGAATAGTTGGTTTGGTTGAGTATGACGATGCCACCACCACCACCACCAGCATCACCAGCAGCAGTAGCAGGAGTGTGTAACGGGAACAATGGAAACCATGGAACTGGGGGATGGCATGATGTAATTGTCACTATATCTGTCAATGTTTCTTGCATCTGTTCGTGTTCGGTGTGGATACACGTCGCATTTCGCGCCTCAGTTTTCAAAATGATATATGCAACGTAATGCATTTACCAACGGTCTTATTTAAACGTAGGACGTTACTTTCATGCACTATGGAAATTTTTCGCTCGTTCGCATTTACTTTCTCTGTGTTCGTTTCCTTTTCGCTTTCCACCGGTTCGTTCTTCGGTCGTTTCGCGATAATTCTCGATTTTTGCATGCACATCATCGGCGTGTCTGTCCCGTGCTTATACATTATGTGATTTTCACGCTCACCATTCACCCTTCTCCTCTCTTCATTCCCTTTCTATCTCGCACATACGAATCCATTGTTTTTTTTTTCTGTTTCCGCACTCTTTCGCCGTTCGTTTAAGTCTTGGAATAGAATTGAATTGAAAAACAGATTTTATTGAACAATTTTCCCAATTTCATGGACTAGTGCATTTTCCGCTTGTGCACGCTATTCTCAATTATAATTTATAATATATCTATTTTATGTGCTTTTATTATGGTCTCACAATGGTTGAGGTATCTGTGTACTGGTTGGCGGCTGGATGTTCATCGAGGGCACACACACACACACACACACACTCTCACACGCGTACACAGCGATTAAAGTGGCAACATGGACAGAGAAATGTTGTGAGAGTAGAGCATTGCCTCGGCCGCCAACGACCAACAGATTCGAGAGAACGTTGTGCATTAAGAGTCGGATGCGATGTTAGAGAAGTAATACTATTTCGATCCAAACACTTTGAACAGCAACGGCGTATCTGTGCGTTTGATTGCTGGCTGCTGATGTCGTTTGGCCATCGTGTTTGTGCTTTCGATGTGTGGCACTTTTACGGTAGCAAAAGTCCATGCAAAACTAACTGAGTGTCAACGTCGTTGCACAGACTTTTCTTTTTCGTTGCTCAATACTTTTTCTTCTTCCTATTCCCGTTTCTTTTTTCAGGTCAATGCGAATTCAAGGAAACATTAGTGACATCTAACACAATTTCCATTGGACTAAAAATAAAATTCCTTTTTTTTCCTTTAGAAAAGTTACTTTGACAATTGAAACGGTGTTGCAAATCAAGTAATTGCTTTGCCAGGCAAGAATTTATAGACAAAGTAACATTTGATGAGCTTCTGAGGCGATGAACTTGCAAAAAAAAAAAATAACAGAGAAAAAAAGAAAGAAAAAGCGGAAGGAAAGAGCGTGTCGATGTATTTTCATACGTATAAA